CGTTGAGCGCTCAAAGCGTGGCACCCGGAAGCGGCTCGTCATGAGGCAAAACGAGCTGATCATGGTGCAAAATAGAGCAAGACTCGGAGAGCAAAATGAATATGATCAAATTTCAGAATTTTTACTGAGGGGGCTGGGAGAGATTCTTGGGAGCTCTGTAGGTCTCTCCTGGTAATGGAGCAAAACTCGCCATTAATGGAGCAAAACTCGCCGATAATGGAGCAAAACGGAGCAAAACTCGGAGAACAAAGTGAACATGTTCAAATTTAAAAAAATTCACCGGGGGGGACTAGGAGAGATTTTTGGGAGTTCTGTAGGTCTCTCCTGGTAATGGAGCAAAACTCGCCGATAGTGGAGCAAAACGGAGCAAAACTCGGAGAACAAAATGAGCATGATCAAATTTCTGAATTTTCACTGGGGGGGGGGGGGGGGGGGGGGGGCTAGCGTTAATTCAGCCCCCCCCACCTAATAGGCCACATAGTCTCTCCACTGTAATGGAGCAAAAATCGAAATTAGTGGAACAAAATGGAGCAAAATGTGAGCAAAATTATGGGATAATTTTCATCCATAAATTTTCTTTGGGGGGGGGCTAACTTAACTGACCCTTTTAGCTCTGATTTCTGGGGACACTCTGTTCGATGACGTGTGTTAGGATTTCTGATATGTCGATGCCATGTTAATATAATTAATTGCCATTGAAATTGAAAAATATTCTTACTTTTTAAACTTTTTGTATTATTTCCAGAAAATTGGTTTTCAAACATATTTTCTAAGTAAAAGATAACATCAATATCAAAGAGATAGGTAAGTAGTTTTTGAGCTGCGAAGGTAATTGGTAAGTATTTGTAAGCGTACATTAACATAAATAAAGAGTTATTTTTTAATTTTAATTTTTTGTGATTTTTTCAAAGGAAAAATGTTAGATTTATCTAAGAAAATTAATTATTAACACGTATTTCTGTAAAAAAATTTCCATTAATTTCTCTGTGAAATTATTCTAATAGAAAATACATGAAATAATATACCTATACATATTTTATCAATTTGACATTATTTTCTTTTTTCTCCATAAACCATTTTTTTAATTGAGTGCTTAAGAACTTCTATCTAAAATTTCCATAAAATATTCCTAAAATTTTACGGTCAAAGCATATTATCGAGAGTTGCCGTGACAAAATGGGAAATTAGATCTGGCAAAAGAATGAAGCATCTTTTGGGAAAAAGCAATTTAAATTGACAAACAGGTTACGAGTGCACCGGAGGGCAAGTTTGTTGTTTGTTCTATGAATTATTCTTTAAATTATTTATTATTGTTTTGTAAAATTGAATAATCATTCTAGTCGCATAATCTTATAGTCTTAATAAAATAATGGAAGGAATATGTCCTAAAGAATGAAAAAAAAAAATGTACATATAGATCAATTTCAATTTGAGAACAAATTTCTGTCAGAATTAAAGACATATGTATTTTTTTCAACAAACAAAAGTCTGAAATTTACTCGAGTCGACTATACCAGAATGAGCGTTACATAGCCGAGCGTGACGACGCAGTTTCATTCAATGCCCACAAAAAAGTATGCTAAACGCACTTCAAATTTAAATTTCGCAGTTATTTTGTGGTCAAATTCGAAACGAAGAGACACACGTTTTCAAATTAAAATTTAATTAAATCCTTGTTTGTTTGAAACCCTTTTGTAATTTGGCTGTGAATACGTGAGGTATTATAAAAAGCTGATATTTCAAAATGTGTAAAACGTTTAAAGAGATTTGCCAGTTAAAAGGGCATTTACTAAGCTTACAATGTTTGGCAATTCCTACAGCATTAAGGACAGTTTTAGCAAAATACATTTGACTTCTAAACTGTACATCCCTATTTATAAATTTTGTACAAAAAAATGAAAACAAAATCAGGTACGGATACGGGTGCTAAAAGCAAACGCGCCCCGTAGCTCACGAGGGAAAAAGCCACATTTTTTGTAGGGTAATAAACTTTTCTCGTTTGGCTTAGTTTTTATTGCGGTTTTTCACGCTTTATTTGATTTTATTCAGTAAATAAAAAGTATGGCTCAGATAGGCCCGCTTTATTTTTTTTAGTGAAACTTCTTAGGCGGCGGTCTGATATTTGAACGAGAATGGAGAGTGATTTGAAAAACGCGTCACGTGCAAATTTCGTTACTCGAGAGAGAAGAAACATATAACGTAAAGAAACGGAAAAAGATAGCCATTGATTGACTCGAACCAAGAATTATAAGCGTAAAGAGGATTGCCTATTATTGACAAGCGCCGATACCCTTGTGACTTACAGATGTGCGTCTTCCTTTTATTATAGATATTTATGTTATAAGGATCATAATGACGATCATTATGGTACTAGCCGTGAGAATATTATCAGACGAGGCGTCAGCCGAGTCTGATAACACGGCGTGTGCCATATTGATTGTTTATGATCCGAATTTCATACAATATTTTATATTCCGCCGATTATAGTCAATACATTGTTCTGTTACATTTGAGTTTATTGGAAATAATTAAAGAAGGCTAATTTTAGTAATGTGCTTGACTGCTTGACAACCATAGTAACAATGGAATTGTTTGTTTGTATTGTCATATTGTCAAAGTTAAATTCACAGAAAAACAATGTGCGACAATTTCGACACATACGTCCAAGATCAGTTTATCGAATTGTGAAGATTTTGTAACTAATTTTAATCGTTAAATTTTGTTGTTTCCAATAGATGTTTCATATTTGTGCCTGCTATACCTATATATACCTGCTATACCTATATATATATTTTTTCATTATAGTACTTAGTACTATATTATAGTACTCAATCCAATAAAGTATGTCATTTTGACACTTAAATGAAGTCCATAATATTGTCATTTTGACATGCCGGAATATAAATAATATTATCATTGTGTTTTGTGATTATTTTCGTTATTTATACATTTGTGTCCTGGTACTTTTTGAAGTGGAACTTCTTAGGCGGCCGGCGGGCTGGCGGGCTGATATTTGGACGAAAATGGAGAGTGATTTGAAAGACGCGTCACGTTTTGGCAAATTTTGTTACACGAAAGAGAAGAAAAATATGACGGAGAAAGACAGCCAATGACAATGCCAGCCGATAAACGATTGACACAAAGCAAGGATTATAAGCAAAGAGGATTGCCTATTATTGTTAAGCGTCGATACCCTTGTGTCGTCACGCGCATCTCCATTTTGTGTGGTCCTTCAACTCATATAGGTTTCTTATGTTATATTTAGGATGACGTCATCGAACAAGGACAGACAATGTTGTCAATGTCTATTTTTTTTCTTAAGAAGGGCGTTTAAATAAAATGTAATTTACAGACCTTCACTAATTCCTGTTCAATTCCAAATTTAGACCACTTTTCAGTGAAATGAAGTTATGTTCATAACAATGATAGATTGGAGTAGAAGTCGAAGCATTTTTGGTTGCAAAATACGCATTCTAAATAGTAAAATTATTACCATTTTGTTGACAACAATATGCAAATTTTAGTCACGGATTTAAATGAAAAAGGGATAAACATATAGAGTAGCACACCAACAACAAATGTCCAAAATTTCGGATAGTAAAATGCTGGAAAAAATAAATAGAACAGAATTTTCGAAAATTATAATTTTTGTATCACAAAATTAATCAAAATCTGTCAAACAACGAGGTGATTGCTGTCATTTTCAGCAAAGACTCAAACCAAACGTTTGTTCAGCGCTTCTCTAAAAGATGTCGCTGAGTTCGGGAAGCATAATAACTTCTTTCAAACGCCAGTAAAAACTGTTTAACCTAGCTAATAATGTGAAATACTATTATTTCATTTGTATCTGAATAAAATTATTTAGTCTACTGTAAATTACTGTGTAAACGAATTGATATTGAAGATGTCGCCATCTACTTGTAAATTAGTCAATCACTTACAGAGAATTTGAACACCTGTGATTAAAAAATATTTAATGTATGTCATAAAGCCCAAAAGATGGCGTGCTGGCTCTTATCTGAGGCCCCTCTTAAGGCGAGTTTAAACAACTTCATAACTTTAATTTAGTGCGTAATTCACAATTTAGTGCAAAAGCTTTAGAGCGAGTTCTCATGAGCGTAAGTTGACATTTCTGGCGTAATCACGTGATAATATGGCATAATTTGATTGGTTAAATCTCCAGCATGGCGAATATTTTACCAATAAAATCCAATCTTTTCATCACGTGATTACGCCAGAAATGTCAACTTACGCTCATGAGAACTCGCCCTTAGGGCGAATCCCCACGGGCGTAATTAGCGCAATCGGCATGAACGTCAATTCTACGCAAATTTTGGCGTAACATCCCGCATGTAGTGCATCAAAACTAAATCAAAAACCTTTTCTAACCCAAATATCTTGTTTATTTTTTGCCAGGTTATAATTAGAATTCACTAATTTGTTGTTGTAGTCCTTTTCCTTTGGTTTTTTGTGGTTTTCTGTGATTGTTCTATCATAGCGGGGTTCGGCTATTCAGCACGGAGTTGGAATGGAGTGAGAACAGATTTTTGTCAGGTGATCTAGGAGTGATTAGAGTGAAAAATTAATACACGAATGATATGCTTTGTTCCAAAACAAGTCAACTGTGACTTTACAACGTTCCAGGTTTCCAATTTTTTTTTTTTTTTCACTTTAGTCTTTGGTCTTCCGTGTACTATAAATTAACTTCAATCCCTCCACAATAATGAATAATATAATGCTTTTGCATTTGTTTAACTTTGTCAAGGAAATTTTCCCATCATGTTAAATAAATTTTAAAATCAGATCAATTATTTTCCACATTTCACCTCTGCGCATGCTTACTCTGAAAATTTCTCTTTCCGAGGTGGAACTTTTGGAGTGAGCTCCATTTACTCTACTCCATATAGTGGAACGCTAATGGAGTCACCCCTAATACGCCAAAAAGCAATACCAGGGGGCGGATTCTCATCCTCTGGTCGCAACCTATCATCCCGACTCACCCGTAGAACGGCAATGGGATTATCGGGCCGATAGGTTGCGACTAGAGGATGAGAATCCCCCACCTGAACGGCTGGAGTGCGAATGACGTCACTCAGAGTGAGCAAGCCGAACCCACCTCATATATCAGAACAAACAAAAACAAACGTCACAACTTCGCCACGATTACGCCAAAAAGTTCAACAAAACGCAACTTTTTGCCGCAGTGGCAGCGTAATGTCAAAAATTCAAGATAGCTGCACTGCCGCCAATGAAATCGTACAAATTAAACCACATGATTAGTTACGCTTACGTCAATTACGCCCGTGGGGTCTCGCCCTTAAAGTTAAATTTATTAATTTCTATGGAAGCGTTTATACATCTATTTAATGCTCAATTTATAATTTAGTTCATAATGGATAACCTTGAAAGTTCCCAACTTTTAACTTTTATGCATTAAATTATGAAAAAACTGGACCTTTCGAGTTCTGTCAGTGTCAAATTTCAATTTTTTCATAATTTAATGCGTAATTTAATACATAACTCAAAACCCCAGTTTAAACAACTTCATAATTTAATACATAATTTTTGAGATGTCATTAATATTCTATTGATATTTTGAAATTTGACACTGATAGAATTCGAAAGGTCCAGTTTTTTCATAATTTAATGCATAAAAGTTAAAAGTTGGGAATTTTTAAGGTTATCCATTATGTACTAAATTATGAATTGAGCATTAAATAAATGTAAAAACGCTTTCATAGAAATTAATAAATTTAACTCAAAGCTTATGCACTAAATTGTGAATTACGCATCAAATTAAAGTTATAAAGTTGTTTAAACTCGCCTTAAATCCGCCTTTATAATTTATAATGGAATGTCATGTGTCAATAATTCTGACGACAGCTGAAAATAACGAAATTAAAATGTGTATACATGTCATGCAACGTCGCGCGCCGTTGCCAACCAAAAACATCAGAAAATCCCCTACTTTAAATGCATTAAAAAGTACTCTTACTTTTGTTAGGTTGGCAACAGAAATGTACTAAATGTGACGTCATCCTAAATATAGCGTAAAAATCCTGTACCATTGAGGTAGAATAATAAAGAGGCGAAATGACGAGACAAATGTGTACCCAGTTCCGCCATATTGTGAGTGTTCTTCTGTCTGAAAGTCTGTCACTTTTGTCATAGCAACGCGACAGTAATGCATCAGGGCCGCATTTTCTATCCGCAGATGTTTTAAATGCGAAAAATTTTTGAAGCGCAGAATTTCTATTGTGGGTCTTAGAAGGATTTTCTGTTTCAGTATGTTGAAGTTTGTGTAGCAACTTCTTCTTTCTTGGCGTAATGTAAATTTTTTATGTTTTTTAATAAAAATTATAAAGAATTTATTTAGTTCGGCTCTGTGTGAGTAGCCATATTGTTAGTGTCTTTAGCCACGCCCACTGATACCGTTTTTATTCTACTATTCAAATGCTGACAGCGGGCGCGTTTGGGTTCACGCTCGGTGCACTCAGAGCTTGCACTTTTGTCTCTTTTTCGTTATATTTGAAGCTCCGACAACGCTTGATTGTGTTTGGTTTGACATATTTTGAGCGCTCAGAGCGAGCTCGATAAACTTCGAGTTTGTGGGGTGGGCAGCTGGAGCGTGCATACGCAGATCAGATGTATTTATTCTGTCTGTATAACCCAATGTATAATCTAACCTATTTTCCATGATAAGATAAATAAACAATCCTGAATTTTAACATGTCCTCATCACTGGTATTATTGAACATATTTTTCCAAGGGAACTTGGCAGCTTCAGAGTGTTTAGGTCCGTTTTATTGTTCATGTACCACGACATTTTTTGCAGAATACAAAGGAAAATGGGGCTGTTTGAAAATTATCGACTAAAATGCAAAACAAACGAGAAAACTCTGGTGCAAATGCGGAATGCGGGCTCGGACTCCAAAAAATATATGCCAAGAAAAATAAACAATAATCAGCTGATCGCTCAACCCAGCATTTTTGCACAAGTTTATTTGGCTTGACACGGTGTTCTCCCTGTGACGTCACGTTACTCCGTAATCGCTCTGCTCGCTCCGCCGAGCTTCAACCCAAACACGCCCAGCGTCTCCCTATTATTCTACCTGAATAACTCATACGCTTTTTCAAAAGATGTACGAAAAGGGGAGGTAGTTTTTAAGAAGTTTCACTTCTACGCAATGAACTATAAACTACACGTACCTGGAATGGCACCGACCGTCACACAACGTCGGATATGGCATTTGCATGGCATTTGTCATCTCTCTTAGTGCGTCCAAAAAAAGCTATATAGTGGGGGATACCTTTCCCTCTCTATTTCATTGCTGTTAGGTTTGGTGTATATTCCTAACCTCAAATATAATGTCCATAAGGAAAATAGAAATAGGGATCCCCCACATTCTCCATCCCAATTTGCCGCATTTTAGAGATAGGCCGGGCCATTTCAGATAGCGATTTTACTACATATAAACTATTACAGCACAAGACACGCCCCCAACTTCGTCATCGCAAAATATAATCGCTCCCAGCGCGATTTTACTAAATATAAATTATTAGAGCACAAGAGACGCTAGCCCTTGACGTTATTGCAAAATATAATCGCGCTCAGCACTTTCCTGCAAAATCTAATCGTTTCTAGCATGACGTGGCGGATCTTACCTCAAATTGTACTTGCAGAGAAAGAGATTATTGTTTCGTAAACGATATGTGTGCCATCACAACAGCTTTAATAATAATAAATAATAATAAAAGAAAACTAATAAAAGTTCAGACGACTGCTCGCAGTATAAAGAAGATACAAAATGTTGAAATGGGAGGAAAGAGAATTTAAAGTAGGCGCCTATCCGGAAAAAGAAAACACAGCCTGTTTCTTAATATCATGTCTAATCTTCCTAATTCCAAAATTCATTAAATGTTGCGCTGTGTATTGTTTTTTGCTGTTTAATTTTGCATACAATATGTATAGCTCAAATTAAAAGTCGATAACTATATTCTTTTTCAATCGATTTATTTATATGAATCAGCCACGTTGTGCTGTCAACGATTATATTTTGCAGGATTGTGCTGAGCGCGATTATATTTTGCAATGCTAGCATCTCTTGTGCTGTAATAGTTTATATTTAGTAAAATCGCTTCCAGGTACGTGTAGTTTATAGTTCATTGCTTCTACCACGTGTACGGCGCTGCACATGTTTTTTTTTTTTTAATTTTTGTCTGAAGAAATTATAAAATAATTATTAATGCATTACGAATATTAGGCAATCCAATCCATCTGTCAAAAAGGAAAAGTCAATATGGCGTGGCGGCCAAGCAAGTTTGTTTTGAATATGTTTTTATGCATATTTTAAATTATTTTGTTTAAGAGTTTTTCTTGCAACTTTGATTTTAATTATTTAATAAGATAATTGTTGACTAGGTACCTAAACTATGAGATCGGGCAGAAACTAGATATTTTTGTGTGTTTTTTGGCACATATGTATGGCCGCCACGTCATCTTGAATGTCACGTGGTTTGGATTGCCTAATAATATTCCACAATCAAGTCCTACTAACCCCCAAAATTAGAGAGAGGTTATCACGAAAATGTTGTGGGACCATTATAGACAATAGTCAGGTTCAAAGCGTTGTTCAAAGTGCCTCTAATGAGTTTCAAAGTACCTATATAAATAACAAAAAAATTCTAATAATTACAATTACCGTACAAAAAATGTTTTCAAGGCTATGAAACATCGACCCTTAGCTTTAGGACACATTACACTCGTCCACCTGAGCATCCCTTATCTGTTGCTTTGTTTTTCGGCTCGCCCTTCTAATTAGGGAGCGTGATCTCGGCTTAGCCAGGTGATTTCCCTCTGTTCCAGATGAACCTGAAAAATTAAATCAGAAAAATGAAATAGTATGATGATGATAATAACAATGTATACCTGATCCGGATGCTTTTTCTTTGTCCTTTTCCAGTAAAGGACTTTCCGCCCTCCTTTTGCCCTTACTAGTGGCTGACACGTAGGCACTAGACCTTCGTTTCAAGCCAGTATTCGAATCGGCGACTTCGTTTTTGGGAAGTAATTTCGACAGCGTGAGAAAAGAACGAAATATTTCTTTGATATTTATGTCGTCTTTTGCTGAACATTCAAGTATTTTTACTCTGAAAGAAATAGGACGATTTAAGTCTTTGTCCTAGAGTACCTAGTTAGGTTCTACTCAGAGAGATTCAATAATAAAAATTCCTTGGTAATAACTGTATTGGTTAACCGATTTCGAAAGCTATAACTTCTCAGGCAAATCAACTAATTATTTCAATATAATTTTCAGCACAAATTGTTCCGCAAAGTTCTTCTCTTCTTCTCTGATTTAAATTTTACATCATTAAAAGTTCTTGGAGTAAGGCCAGAAACAAGCTCTAATTTTAATTTTATGCAAAGCATCCTGGGAGAATTAATGTTTTATTATTAGAAAACATTAAAATATTTCTAGTTGAATTTAGGGGTAGGTAATGTGTAGATATGTATTTATATAACATTTCACTTTAGAGGGAATTTGATCTTGGTTAAAATTTTTGTTTACTTGAAATCAGATATTAAAAAAAGATTATTGCCGGGTCTCCTGGTATCTATAGAAAATAAAAGCATTTTCGAGATAATCAAAAGCTTTTGGCTTACTTGAAATGAAAGGTGTACTCATCATAACCAGTTCAGTAGGTACAAATACTCCGGAAATTACGTCAGAGCTATCTTGGATCAACTCCTAATATACTTTTCGCTCATTAGTCTAATTTCAATGAATTAAAATAATATTGCACTCAATGTCAATGAGAATACAGCTCATTTTATTTCAAAGAAGACTCAGATAAGGAAAAATTTTCTTCAATATATTATTGACAACTTAAATCTCAATTTTGATTGAGCTTTTTTCGAAACTCTATTGAAAATATAATTAAAGTTAAAACCGTATAGCTACAAACCGTCTTGATTTGTTTTCAATTTATTGTAAATCCTCTCCTGTGTCTGACAGGCAACAACAGGATTCTTTCTCCTCCGCCCTGCCTTGATTTTTTTCTTTCAAGTTTATTTCAAATGTTTCTGAAATAAGCAATTTATTTAATAGGGTCTCAAGTTGTCTTTTGTTAGGGAAGTTTGAGGTTTCTCGTGAATAATCAATATTAATATCAATATGTGTAAATCTATAATCTATTAGACTCTGGTCAATTTACATTGATGACAAAGACGAAAAAATCATCTACATATTCCAAAACCAGCTTTAATTGAATTTTGAGAGTTATTAGTTATTCCGTAAACATATAATTGCTTGCAGAAAAAAAAGCGCAAAAGACGAGACATCTACCTACTCCATAAAGTTTTTAACGATTTTTAAAAGTGCTCAAAGTCCAATTTAGAAAATTTCCAACTCACCGTCTATTTAAATATAATGAGGGATGTTGTCGGGGGCCGGAAGTTAAACGTGGAAAGCGGTATGCAAATAATTATAATGAATTTTACAACTCTTTTTCAGTTGGCCTTTCCGGAATTTATATGGCTAGGTAGCTAAGATTGAAGTTAAAACTGACTGAAGCAAGAAATAAGGTAGAATTTTACCTCGTTTTAGAAAATCAGTTCCAGTTCTTACCTTAACTTGGGCAATTCACAATACACCCACTCCGAAACGTCCTCAATGGCAATTTCCCGATGAGTGCTTGTCAAATCCAACTTATTTCCCGCTACTACAATAGGAATATCCTGGTAATCGTTCCTATTTTCCCTGATTTCTTCAAAGCATTGCTTGATAGTGTCGAAAGATGGGGCGGAAGCCACTGAGTATACCAATAGGAAGGCGTGAGCAGTGGCTATGCAAAGGCGGCGCATCGCAGGAAATTGCATATCACCTTAAAAAAAATATTATTAAATTAGTAGGTATGCATTCTAAGTTTGACTCTTATACTCACCGGCAGTATCTAAAATGTCCACCTTCAAAGTCATATGTCCAAGATCATATTCTTTATTGTACAGATCTTCCACAGTACTTTTGTATTTATTACAGTACGTGTTGAATAAAAATCGTTTCAAAATACAACTTTTTCCAACACCTTGTCCACCGAGTATCACTAATCTTATTCGCTCGTAGTCACTCATTGTGGACATTTTTCTACTGGTTGGTTCCTGCTTAAAGAGTTATTTTGTATTGTTTCTGAAATCAAAATTATCAATCAATCAATCAATCAATTTATTCAATTTCAATAGGAAACCCTAATATAAACAACATTTTTTTTAAAAGACAAAATTAACAAAAACAGAAATAACTTACAAATAACTTAAAATTAGGAAATTAGAATCTAACCAAAAATCTTACACAGCCTTCTCCTAATCACATTTAGTTACTACCTACTATTCAATCATGAAATAATAATTACATGACTACAATGTGAATGTATTCACTCAGCCGTCTTTTAAATACATTTAGGGAACTAGAGTCCTTAACAAGAGGAGGTAATTTGTTGTAATCATCTATTCCTTTATAAAAAAGCATTTTGTTCGTGCTTGAAAGGTTGCACCTTGGAATGTGGAAACTACGATTTGTATAACTTCTAGTTAAGTGATTGTGTATATCATATCTGAATGCAACAAATTCCTCAAGATATGGTGGTAGAAGATTATTCAATATTTTATAAATAAAAATCATAGCATTACGAAACATTCTTTTTTGTACTGAAAGCCACTGTAGAGTATTTAACATCAGCTGGATTCCAGTGTACCTATTGCATTTGAGAATAACTCTCATTCCTCTATTCTGCAGTTTCTGTAGAGCTGTTTTTTTTGTTTAAATCAAATGTATATAGTGTGCTGCTACAAAAATCAAAATGAGGTTGTATTATACTGTTATATACTGTAATTTTCGAGGACATGGATAATTTTTGAGATATTCTGGAGAAGAAGTAAAGTTTTTTTGATATCTTTCTATAAATATATTGGAAATGTGCATTAAACAATAAAGTATCATCAATCATAAAACCCAAGTATTTAAATTCTCTAACAAATTCAATTTTTTCATTATTAATATACAAATTTAATGAATTAACATTTATTTGTCTATGCCTATAGGGGCGTTGTAATAAGCATAGCCTTCGATTTATCTGAGTTAAGTTTCATCTTATTTGTGTTAAAGTACAGTAAAATTTTGGTCAACTTTGATCATGCGTTAGTTTGCCCGTACGATCAAAGAAACCCCATTCATATAAAATCTAAATAAAAAAAATAAAAATAAAAAAAAACACCAGAAATTAAGAAATAAATACGCTTTTGCTTTAATCAAGTTTGTTTTTTATTACGAAAACATAAAACTAACAGAAAAAAATATATATTTTCTATCTAAAGGTTGAACAAAAGTAAAACAAAACCAAAAACAAATTACTAAACAAACTTAAACCAAATAATATTTGCTGTCTGTGCTCCAGACACGAAAACAGAAAAATTGTAATTTCTAGGAAAACGGACGTGATGAGAAAGTACCACTTTAGACCTCTACAAAACTTTCAAACGCCTTGAAAACATATTGCCCCCTATGATGTTCTGAGGGTTCTCGGGATTCTATAATTTCAGATCTCTGAACGAAACATTCATCCAAAATGTCAGGAAAAACAAAAAAATTGTTCTTTTTACCTTTTTTAAATCTCAGAAAACTGACATTAAAAATATCGTCACCTAATATTATTTCTGTTATTTTGCCTACAAAGTATTTATCGACATTTGTATTGACAGTTCTCATTTTAACTAAGACAAACGATCCAATTTTCAATTCTGTACTTTCCAAATTTTCGGTCGATTTAGTGTTGCAGTTTTCGTTTTCCTTTTCTTCTTCGTTGAATTGTTCTCTTCCTTGTTCGTCATCTTCATCGTGAATAGCTTCATCCTCTGTTTCATTTTGCATGGTTCCTTCTTCGAACATTTCTGAGTCTGCTGTAACGTGCGTTACGCTTTTGCCAGGAACGACTTTTACCATTTTCTTTTTTTGCCTTGTTGAGGTACTTGGACCCCCACCAAACCTCTGCTCTTTCAAGAAATCAATTAGTGTATTGCCTATGTCACCTTCATTTTCTTGAACATATCCCGGAATTTTTGATAAGACCCTCTGAGGATCATACGGGAAAACTCCAGTCGCGGCAAATCCACTAATTAGGATTCTTTTTATTGCATGGCCTTCACCCACGTTATCCATTGCAGATAAAGCTTGTTGAAGAAGGCTGGGAAATTCTTCTTTAGGCAAGCCACCTATCTTTGGATTTTTCGCCAAGCTATTTTCATCGGCCTGAAAAAACAGACATCAAGAGCCTGTGTAAGGTGAGTGGAATGGGGGAACCAAACACACAAAAGCGATATTATTTTTTTCGCAACACTTAAGAACATCGTCCGTGAAATGTGCGGCCAAATTGTCCCCAATGATAACTTTTTTTCCATCTAATTTTTTTGCATGTGGTAAGAAACAAGTCATAAACCAATCCGTAAAACTTGATACCTCCATCCAGCCAAGATTCGTTCTATTATATCGCGAACCACCACTGCAACACCTATCTTCGCAACAAGGACTACCTTTTGGACCATTTTCCGTCCAAGTATTCCACATCTTTGTGGATCTGTATATTATGTATGGCGGAAGTAGTACACCTGAAGCCGATCCACATATCATAATTGTCGTAGCAGATTTGGTAAAGTTACAGATTTGTTCGGGGTACTTTACACCTCGTCTATAAATTTTAAATTTTTTTCCAGGATCGTCCGCCATATTTGTTTCATCATAATTGAATAAATGCGATGGAGGGACATTTTCTATTGTTGCTTTCAAATTATTGAAATATTCTTTCAACGACGCTTCGCTGACTGTAGCTCTAGCTCTTTTAATGTTTGCAGCGACCCTTTTACAAATGTCAGATTTGTTTCTAATTAAGAGGCCATCCACCCAATCTATACCAGGCTTATTTTCCGTTAGATAAGGCATTATCTTGCCCTGCTTGTCAAGATAGTTTTTGGCTAAGAACTGCATGTCTTCTCTTCTTTGGACAAGGGATATCCCCAGTCGCCACAGGTAGCGGTGCTTTTGACGAGTTGAAGTTCTTCTTGTGGAGTGAATAATGTGGGACGTCCTACTGAACGAATGTGGAGCCCTTTGTACCTGTTGTACAAAGTCCCAAATGGAATCCCATATTGTACTGACGCTTTCCGTATAGGGGAATTATGCCTATGATGGCCCAATTCCTATGATGGCCCCTCCGTCGTATTTTTAAGTTTCCCGCGATTTTCGTTTAGCCGGCCATTTTAAAACGTCATCTAACTTCCTTTTAGAGCTGCACATGCAGTATGAAACGGGCGTCGGCCATAGGAAGGTGTCAGTGTGTGAAAATAAAAAAAGGTAGGTCCTGATCTAATAAGTCTGTTGAAAATATTAGTGAATATTTATCTTAAAACAAGTAATTTAGAATTGGATTTTATATCAAATGTTCGCGTGTGTATCGTGTTACAGTTTTTGTATCGAAATTGAGGTTAGAGTGAACATAACATGTGATATGAAATTTAAGCAATCTATATGCACTTATGCCTATGATGGCCCCATGTATTCTCTCCTTTGATGGACCAGGGGGCCATCATAGGAATAACATATTGCTATGTAATTTATATGTAAGACAGTGGGTAATACATTTTGCTTTATTGCTTTAAGATATGACCACCAAAAGACAGCAATGGGATGAAGTGGACATGGAACAAGCCATCAGGAATGTACAGGCAGGAGAAATGGGGTATAAGTTGGCCGCTCAAACATTTAACGTACCCAAAACCACGTTAAGGAGAAGATTGGCCACGAATAAAGGTGCTCTCAAACAGGGACTTGGAGCAAAACGAGCCACTTTTTCCAAAGAAATTGAACAAGAAATTGTTGATCACATCATAGACATGGAATCACGATTTTTTGGTCTTACCAGCACAGATTTACGTAAGTTGGTCTACGAAGTAGCGGAAAGAAATGGCATTGGACACAATTTCAACAAGGAACGCAAAATGGCTGGGTGGAAATGGGTTAAATGTTTTTTAAGACGCAATCCCCGCATATCTTTAAGAAATCCCGAAAGTACTTCGTTAGCTAGGGCTCAGGCTTTTAACAAACCCAACATTCTGGCATATTTCAAGCCATTAGCGTCTATTTGGAACAAACATCAATTTCTCCCGGAGAACATATACAATATGGATGAGTCTGGCTTGACCACAGTCCAGAAGAAGTCGCAAAAAATATATGCCTGTAAAGGTCGCAAACAAGTTGGGGCACTCAGCAGTGCAGAATGCGGTCAGCATGTTACTGTCGTTTGTTCAATGAGTGCCATTGGCTCTTACGTTCCTCCTGTGATAATTTTTCCACGTCAAAGAATGAAAGACGAGCTAATGAATGGTGCTCCACCGGGATGCATTTCGTTTGTACAGGAGAAAGGCTGGATGACCTCCGAACTTTTCTGCAAATGGCTCAAACATTTTGTCAGATACACGAAAGCGTCTCTAGAAAATAAGGTTCTGTTACTATTAGATGGTCATAGTAGTCATAAAAGCCTCGAAGCGTTGCAGTACGCAAAACAAAACGGAATTGTAATATTTTGCTTTCCTGCCCACTGTTCCCATCATGTCCAGCCCCTCGACGTGGGATTTTTTCGACCCTTGCAAACTTATTACGGACAAGAAATTCAACTCTGGTTGCGACAGAATCCTGGCAAAACTGTAACGCAGTTCCAAATAGCAGCTTTATTTAGTCGTGCCTATTTAAAAAGCGCCATACCCACAAATGCTATCAACTCCTTCAGGAAAATAGGAATACATCCGTTTAACCCGGAGGTTTTCGAAGATTGGCAGTTTTCACCATCTTTAACAACCGATAAACCTCAAATAACTCAAGAAGATGTCCTTGAACCTGAAAAAATTATTCCATTGCCCAAAAATCTCAAATTACCTTCCAATCAAGGTAACATTGATAAAGACTATCCATCTTATCAAGAAGAAAATATTATGGTTCAATTGGACAGTTCTGTGTCTTTGCCAGGACCTTCCACTACACAAACTCTCACTAAATCCCCGGTTCTCAATGTATCATCCGAATCAGCTCTTAACATATCGGTCAAAGATATTTGTCCTCCACCTTCAGTCGCTGATATTCAGTCAATGCAACGGAGGGTTAGAAAACGTGGAAAAACAGGAACGTTGAATTCTACACCAGAACTTGATGAGCTCAAAGCAATAGCTGCTCAAAAGGCAGTCAAATTAAGAAAAACTTGTGCAAGAGCAGCGAAACGACAAGTTTTCGTAAATAAGAAGGATCTTGCAAGTGACGACAGTGATGAGGAAAATCAAGCGGTTGTTGACAAATATCTGGAACAAGAAAATTCGGACGACGCCGCATGCCTCTATTGTAATGAACTTTATTCACAATCAAAATCTAGGGAAAAGTGGATTCAGTGTCAAGTCTGTAGCTCTTGGTGCCACAATGATTGTGCGGGAGTTAGCCGTAGGTGCAAGTTGTTTGTTTGTGAACTGTGTCAATGAATGCCTAAAGTAGAATTCATGTTATTCTCCTGTTTGTATTGTTTACTTTTGTGGTTTTTCTATTTTATTTTTTTCTGAGAACTATGTACAATTTATTTTGCTCTAGTCTTTATTTTGGGGTTTGTGTTAAAGAATGTGATCTCTTAGTTTTTTGGTATAAAAGTTTTTCAATAAAATATTAGAAACAAAATGTTCTCTCATTATTTCTCATAAATATTCTCAGTGGTCCAACATAGGAACACTCCGGGGTCCATCAAAGGAATGTATGCTCCTATGATGGACCCCTCAAATTGATTTTTAAAAATGACCGTCAAAAAGTAATTCATGAAACTAATCAAGAATACAATGCAGGTTTTGAAAGCCCTTATCAAGACCCGTAAAATGAACTGAAGTGATCCACAAAAAAATCATAAATATAAAAATTATGAGGCATTATTCTTAAGGGGGCCATCATCGGCATACTTCCCCTACTAAAATTATCTTCTGTAACTTTTCCTAAAGCTTCTTCGACAAGTTCCTCTTTATAGTCTTTATATTTTCTGACACCCAAAGTTCTCTGATATTTTCGGACCATATTTCTGCAAGATAAAAATAATATTCAAGTATGTAGGTACCTGCATTACTGTTACCATATGGGGCAACTTTGATCATGATCAAAGTTGCCCCATAAAAGGCGATCAAAGTTGCCCCACGAAGGATTTTAATAAATGAAAGGTCTAATATTATTTTGAGAAAAATCTAAAAATGATATTTCTGTTCTCAGGTTGATAGGTTTCCATGTAAAATAATAAAAATTCATCCATGATAAAATAGTGAAGCTGTGTATATGAAATTTCAGAAGCTTTTTAAAATAAACAAACGTTAAAAGTAAACTTTCCTACCTTGTAGTACGGAGACCGCGGCAAATCGCACCACCATAACCACACTCTCGCAAAAGACTGACACTTGAAAAACATATGACCTGTTGAGACGCGCCAAGAAATTTGCGCTTGTGTAGTAATACAAGAAAATAATAGTTGAGACATGGGTTATCAAAATTGCCCCACAATTATCAAAGAAGCCCCAGTTGACAGTAGCTATCTTATGATTTAGATTTTGGAAATCTTTGAAAGGTCATAACTTTTTTTTTATTATAGATAGAAAGCTGAAATTTCCAGCGATTCTTCCCCCAGTTGATTACTATAATCCCTGGAAATTTCAACTCATTTGGACTAGAAATACAATCGTGGTACCTAATTAATCTGGGGTGATTTATCAATTTTTCAATTTTTCTGAGTGACAAAACAAAACCCAATTACAAATATATCTGAAATCAATGAATAACAATACTGTTGAATAATTGGAACAAAAAGACAAACACTTAACAGATATTTAACCGATCGCAGAAAAAACAGTGTGTGTATTTTGCTAGAAAAGCACATTCTCGGCCTTCGGTGTTCAACTTACACCGTCGGCTGAGAATGTATCACTTTTCCACTTAAATACACAATAGATATATTTCCAAAAATTTTTTTTTTGCGTTTTATTAATTTTCTTTTTGTGTTTCCCTTATGCTAAAATAAAAATTTCTATCGTTCAATTACCTTTTTAAATTTTGCATTAATGATTAAAATTTAGCAGAGATTTTTAAGTTGCGCAGGAACAAATGAGTTACGTTTAGGAAGTTTTTAATGAGTTTCAAGCGGGATCAGGCCGCTCAGTGTTTGTGAGCCTTTTGAAAAGTAGAGTCGATAGAAAAGCGGTGCAGAATGATCTGAAACAAAAAAAATATTATTGATAAAATTTAAAATTTACGAAATATATGAATTTTATGGATTTAGGATCCATTTCCTATTTAAAAATTTTTTGCTTTTAGAAAGTTGTAAATCTGCTCGACAAAATCGAAAAACCTTTGAATCAATCTTTTTCCTATATAGTTAGAGTTAGGAGATAGGTACGTTTTTGATTATTTGAGCTTTTCTAAGATGAAATGTAGGTGATAAAATTAATCATTTCATATAAAGTATAATTGATACAAAAGTAGGTAGGTAAAGTTTGTTTCGTCAGGGTTTGTACTTGCCACCAGCATTTGCCTTCCTTGTTTAACAAATAAAAATTGACTGAAACAAATCAATGACGTCAAAAACGTTCGTCGGTTCTTAAACCAGAAGTCATTCATTTTGATTTGTCAAAAAAATTAAATGTGTCATATGAATTAACCTTTTCAATTTAAAAACCTCTCTCTCTGGCATCAAACTGTCAGACGCCAAAAAAGTATGAAAACAATGGTTGACAGCCGTTGACAGTGGTTTGTAGACAATACTTTTGAAATATACTATTATTTCCTCGGTGTTTTTAAGGTTTTTTCCTAACAATGGTGATTGTGTGTAGTGTGCCTATTCATAAAAATAATTTCTATTCACTGGCGGACGTGTCTTTCCATAAGTTTCCATCAAATCCTACATTTGTCAAAATTTGGATACACAAAATCAGAAAGGATACCCGCAAAAGAAAGGAAAACCCACGGCCCATCAAGTATACACAGTAATCCAGGTCCAAGTTTAGTTGGCAGAAGCTGTTTTGCTTCCAAAATAATCCACCACCGTCTCCAAAGCGAAGTTCTCCGAATGAAGTAGTGACTTTTCCAACATTTTCTTTCCAATTTCAAACCCTGCGTTTTTATTCATATCAAATTTTTCCGATGGATCCATCATTCTATCGGGTCTTCAAAAAAAAAACCAATCAAAGATTGCTATGGTTTTTTGAACGTAGGTCTTAGCAATATTTTTCTTTAATTTTGACAATGTCAGTCAATGAAATTTAATGTCAAAATGTCATGTCAAAAATCCTGACCAATAAACAAACAATAATGCGACGTACGTTTTCGTAACCAAAGCAATCTTTGATTGGTTTTTTTTTTGAAGACCCGATATGTCGGTCATTGTCATTTTCCATTCACTTAACAAAGATATAGCTAACTCATCGGTGAAGTCACCGATTCGAATAAAAACGATGGGATTGCTAACCACCCAATACACATTGACATTGACAAGCAAGCAAATGTTGGCGGTAAAATGAATGTTTTCATACTTATCGTCCATCTCTTTTAATTGAAAACGTCAATTAATCTACGACAACCCTTTTTTTTCAAGTTTCAAGGTCAAGTATGAACCCTGGTGAAACGGACCTTATACACCCTCTGAGGTATACACCTAGATAGGTACCTATAGTCTGGCAAGTGGTTACTTGGCAGAGACCAAAGGGGGAAGAAAAGTTGGCCGTAACCTAAGAATATTCACTGACACCTCAACTGACACCGCCTGATGACAACCATGTCTTTTGGTTCAGTGGCACCGAAAACACCAGAGAAATAAAGCAAAAAATTATTAGGAAAAAAATTCTTGAGTTTCACCAATAACCACGCCACTGGTGTTGTCGTTCAGACTCTAACCAATAGAATCATGCCTCTAAATAATCACGCCTCTCCACATCCTTCATTTCGCAATGCTGCCGGATTTTATTCTATTTCAAAATGCTACACATACCCATATTGCAAAAAAAATATGTCCCCAACTTGTTTATTATTGTTTCCACAGAATACATATCCTCACGGATAGAAGGCAAACTGCCTAATAAAATTTTGGGGAACAATGCGCCATCACCGCCGTTGTGGATGCGATCCGAACTATTTTAAATATAGGTTTCTGTAATCAAATCAACTTTTAATTTTTTTTTATTTTTAATTTTATAGGTCTCTAACGGCTATTTTGAAGGCTATAACAAAGGATATCTAATCTAAGTGGAGCTTTAAATGTGGCTTGTAGAAACAAAAGTCACATTCAAAGCTCCATACTCAGCTCGAGGATCCCCTAAGTTTTAGCCATGCAAATGTCTATGGTGCAAATAGCCCTGGGTCATTTTTTTGGAAACCACACCCAGTAACACAACACTTTTTAGGATCTGTGCTGTGTCTTTGTTATAAATGACGAATTCGAGGGCCTAATCAAGGTAAAATTTTGGTAAAGATCACTTTTTCGAGCAGAAACGTCGGCCAATCATACTTAAGAGGTATATCGTTGAAAGAAGAATAAAGTGCGCTTTCTAAAAATGACATAAAAAATCCAGGTCCGTATTTGAAAAAATGAAGTTGATGATGGTAGCTCGATCACGAAACGTCGAATTTGAAATTTGAAGATGCCATGTTGTAAAGCGATAAAAGTTATAAAACTTTCAAATTTAAATTATGTCCCAAAAATCAATGGTCTTCGAAATAATTGATGAAATAGTTTTCGGCGTTTCTTAGAAATCACCCTGTATTTCCTAAAGTAAAAGGAATTTGGCAACACTGTAAACGAATCTTGAATGGGCATCAAAAAAGACAACTTTTTTCTAATTTAACCGACCTCGTATCTTTTACCGTTTCGGAGATAGCAATAGTGGTATCACTTAAAACGGACACCCTGTATATAATGTGCTCTAGATGAAACTTGAACGTCTTGATCCTCAAAGTACCAATCATCCTTGACTAATTTGATATTTACTTAGTAAACAACGTTCATTAATTATTTTTCTCAATTAAAACAATTACTGATTTTTCTTTGTATCGCTTCTAATTATTCTCTAGTTTCATTTATAATTGGTGTTATATAAGCAACTGCAGCACTCTATTCGGAAGGAAGTTATGTTCAGAGACAAAGAAATTTTTAATAAGAATTTAGATGCTATGATGATTAATTAAAAAGTAACAAAGGACCCCGCAATATTTAAATGGAAATTGGTTACCCGTGATATTTGGATGATATTTGAATATGTTATTGGGGATGCCGTAAGCAACATTTTTTACCAGGGGCACAACCCTGTATATATGACAGGTGAGGCGTGGTTAGCTGTCAAATATTGGAATCTTGAATCCAAAAGCAGAGTAAATATGGCAGATTTTGATGAACAAAAAATTTATTTCTACTAATTCGACCAAGTTAAGTCGAAAAATGTCAACCGTTTTAACACCTGCCAAACGGCAGCACTCATCTTTTCCAGTTTTCAATATTTTATGTTGTTATTTGACATTTTTAACTTATATGTAAATTCTAAATTCAAAAATTGGAAAAAAAATGACAGCTGTCAAAATGTGACGTGCATGAACTTTGTTCAATGTTTTATCACCAATAAACTACCTTAAAACGAGAAAGGACCAGATAAGAGTATTTTTTTCTACTAAAACAAATGACAGGTTTTGATAGTTCTGTAATTTTTTTTCAATTTTTGAAGTTAGAATTTACATATAAGGTAAAAATGTCAAATGACTACATAAAATATTGAAAACTGGAAAAGATGAGTGCTGCCGTTTGGCAGGGTTTTGACAGTGTTAAAATGGTTGACATTTTTCGACTTAACTTGGTCGACTTAGTAGAAATAGATTTTTTGTTCATCAAAATCTGCCATAGTTATTCTGCTTTTGGATTCAAGATTCCAATATTTGACAGCTAACCACGCCTCACCTGTTATATCTAGGTACAGGGTTGTGCCCATGGTAAAAAATGATGCTTACGGCATCCCCAATAACCTATTTAAATTTCATCCAAATATCACGGGTAACCAATTTCCATTTAAATATTGCGGGGTCCTTTGTATGACATTCTTTGTCTATTTGTCAGTATCTATACATTTCTAGAAACAGGTGCGAATTTGAAACATTTTAAAAACATATTTTATCGGGAACCGAATTTTTATATGATTTTTTATCTCATGTGGATGTTGGAAGCAAGAACATTTTACAACATAACCGCATATGGGAGCAAAGTCTATCAAGGGAAAAACCTTCTCAGCAAACCCGTGTTTTAATGAACAAAAAAAAAAAAGAAACAGAAGCACAAAGCAAAAAATCTTGTTTCTCAAATCGTTTTTAAATTCGAAACCTACCATGTAATTTTTTTTATTTCTCTTATTTTCTTTGAAAACATTAGGTTTTTTCCTGAATAACTTCATAGGCGTATATTAAAACCACCAAGTTCATTCGAATTCGTTTGGCAAGTTTTTTCCAGTGTAAAAATGTTTGTTTGATAAAGTTCTACGGTTAGACTGGTTAGAGCATTGAGTTGGGGTTTAATACGAAATCGGACAAATGAAAATACGCACATATTTTCAATTTCGTTGAGCTGTAGAGTGTTATAATGTCGCTCTATCGTATGATAATTAAACGATCTATAAAAGGATTGGACAAATCGTCCAACAGCAATCAATCGATCCGATATACGTATTCCGATAGACATACGACTTCAAAATTCAAAAGAGTCATTCTCCAATACTTGGACAATGTTTCGGTTTGATAATGATAAACCGTAAAAACACGATTCAGAATACAAAGATGACTTGAAACTTTAAGCTATAAACTTTACTTTCGGCCAATCTAATTCAAGAAAAACACGTTTTATTCGTAGTCCTCATACGCAACAAAATTAAAAAACGCTGACGCTCACAAAAACATCCCCTCCCTCCCAACTGGGATTCAACTCCAATATCTCTCGCTCAGATGACTTTGTTTTATTGCTTTTGCTCCCTGCTCCCTCTCAGCTTTTCAATAAAAATTTTTCATAACTGTTTTTACGTCATGAAAAGGCAAATAAGAAACTGCCAAGATGGAGGATGTATTAAAAAAATTACAAAACTTCAACTGCCAGCATTGATTTTGGTGTAATATAATATAGGGTACATAGGTATTGTCCGTCGTTTTTAATCTGACATTTTCCGTATAATGAGTAAGAGGGGTGAAGCTTA